GAAGGAAGGAAGGAAGGAAGGAAGGAAGGAAGGAAGGAAGGAAGGAAATATTAAGTTTTATTAGTTAGCTTTTTGGGTGTCACAATGAATCTCACTGTGACTCTCAACAGTTTTCAGCTGTTGAGAACAAACTGATTTCATTAAAATATCATAATAAATAAATTTCAAATATTAAATATGAATTTATGAGCTAGTTATATTAGGACATAATTTGATGCAAAATACACAGTGCAAATAATGTGAAAAGATGCAATTGACCTTACTTAGTTGCTTAGCCTTCAGAGTAAATCAGATACAAGAAATGTTCCTTATTTTGAGGTGATATCTGCATGTAGATTTTGCCCACTGTATCTGAAGTCTGCTAAATAGGGAATCTGTTCAACTGACATTTCACTCTAAGTAAATTTACAACTTATGTAGTAAAATATATTTACATTATACAAGTCTGCTCTATATGAATTCTAAACTATATTATTACTTAATGATTACCCATATTCAAAGGACAAGAAAACAGCTTCCTTCAGGAGCAGCCGCTATCCATGAGCAGTTGCTTCTTATGTAGCCACAGTGATGGTGATGAGGCAAATCATATGCTTTTTCCCTAAAAATATGTACCACTGTCTCCAAAATTATTTAAAAGAAAGACACATGGAAACCCTTACAAGTAATAAATAAAGAACTCTGCATCAGATGTGAAGCTTGTTTGTATCTAAAAGTTATTATCTATGTAACTGTTTGACTAAGCAGGATGCACTCAAATGGTTTACAGAAGAAACAAGAAACTAAATCTCACTTTTAATATTTAAATTAAGAAGAAAATAAGAAGTGTTCTAAGGATCTTCAAGGGTCAAGAAAGCAAACAGCAAAACATACTTTGTGATAACACAATGTAAACCAAATCTGACACACTTGCATCTAAACCTTGGCACTCAATTACAAAAGACCAGGGTTGATGTTATGATGCAGGTCCAATTTTTCCATTATCATAGTTTATTCTGGATGCTTATTGAAATGTTTGGAAATCCAGGAATTTTCCTCCAGAAATTACAAAATTTATGAAAGAGAGCATTTGGCTCAAGACTGGAAGAAGAAAACACTTATATGAATATATGCACACCAGTAGACGCTCCTTACCTGTGCTGCAGCTAGATTCTCTGCATCTTCTTTTTTGCTGGTTGCTGGGAAAAAGACAATGTTGTCTATTGTTTGAATAAGTTCCAGTTGTACCACACATTTGATTAACAGCGCACCAAACAGTTTCTGATCTGGAAATTCTTTTAAAACAAGAAAAAAGTAAAATAAATTTGGTAACTGAAACAATCATGCAAACTACTAACCATCTATGTGTGTTAGAAACTTTCTACTGTCTGCCAAATTATTTGCATTGAATATATACTAATACAATTGCCAAATATATTACCCTAAATTACATATATAAAATATCTACAGTGTTGAATACAAAATCCCAGGAGCCCTAGCCAAAATGATAATGAAAGATTACTGAAATGCATTCCAATAATTTCTGAAGACTTAAATATTGTCCATCTGTAACTTTAACATAAATATGATAGAAATGCATTGTTTAATTAAACATCAAAGTTGTACAAACAAATCGAATTGTGTTAAATTTCAGCTGCAAATTTAAATTCAAAAATAGATTAATGCTAAAATATCTAGAATAAAATTTAAAAGTATGTCATCTAAAGGTGTAACATTCTTTTGGAGAATGAGAGCATATTGTAATTTTAAATAAGCATGGCCGAGACAAAAGGTGCTGAGAGAAGTTTGGAATATTTACTGTAGGTCACTTCCGTACCATAGTTTCTACTCTCCAGCACATAACTGTCTTCTGCCAACCTCAAAATGTTGAAAATAACACCATGGCGGCTTTTATGATGAAATATGGGAGTGTAGGGTGGTAAGAGTTCCTACCCAAAGGAGAACAAATGGTTTAAATTTCTGCAGAATTGCAGTGACTCTAGAAAAAAGAAATATAACAGTTTTGCCGTGATTTTAGTTATCCCCAGTTCACCCAGCAATAAATCAACTCAACTTTCTAGATATAGTTATCATTGTAAAACTGAATGGTTTCAGAGCCATTCCAAATTCATATGAAAGTGTGCTGTATTACTTTTAGCACTGTTGTTATATAAGCTTTTTTCAAAAACTTTTAAAACAATATAAAAATGTACAAAAGATTGAAAACAATAACCCACTGAAAAGAACTTAGAAGGGAGGAAATTTTTATTTTTATATTTTTTCTAAAAAACCTGACAGCGGGAAGCAATCATAAACACCAGGAAGGACTGTACACCCAGAATTAGAAGGGGCATTGGTACTTACCTGACACGCCCTTTCTCTGTGAGCTGTGAAGAGCATCCATTGTTTGGGGATGATGCTTCTGTCGCTCGTTTGATAGGCTGGGCTTTAATTGAGAGGACGTTCCTCCTCCTCCACGGGACTCCTCCCTAGCGTCCCCAGTTTTGGCGAAGTCGAAGTGATGAAATATTTCTTCTTCTTCACCCTTTCTAATACTTGGCTGGAATAGCATCCCACCAGACGAATAAGGGTGGGGATGGATGCTCTTCACAGCTCACAGAGAAAGGGCGTGTCAGGTAAGCACCAACGCCCCTTCTCCAGATGAGCTGTTCAGAGCATCCATTGTTTGGGACATATCAAAGCTTGGCGTGTCCTATGGGAGGGTTTCTGTCTGGTTCGGATTCCCCTTTTTCTTGGTCCCTATGGACCCTTTGTAACACTCTCCTGTCAAAGGCAGCCTCTGTAGAGGCAAAGACATCATTCTAATAGTTTCTAAATAAAAGGCGATGGTGAGGCCCATGTTGTCACCTTCTAAATTTTCTCTATTGGCGCTTGTGGCCCATGTTGTCAACATCGCAGCGCTCCAGGTCGAATGAACAGTGATACCCCTAGGTACAGGAAGAGATTGTGTCTCATAGGACTTGGGAATTGTGCTCTCAGCCACTTACTGGTCATTGAGGAAGAGGTCTTGCACCCAATGGTGAGTGGTTGAAAGAAACAAAGAGAACCTTTGTTTCCTAACACACATCGTGCAGTTGAAATATATGCAGAAAGCTCGCCTTACATCTAGATTGTGGCATTGTCATGCCAGATTTTATGTCGGTTTCAGACAAATGTACGGGAGTATCAGTTCCTATGGTCTGTGGAAACCCAAATTTATCTATGGGTGAAAGATGGATCTGGACTAAGGACCATTTTGTCTGTGTGAAAAATACAGAGCTCCTGTCTAACTGACAAGGCTACTAGAGCCAAGATGTAACTGGCCAATGTAATGGCAACCAAGAGAACCACCTTGTATGTTAGGAATGGAGACGCATGGTCTACAGGGGCTCAAAGGGAGGTTTTATTTATTTTTGAGTGCGGTAAGGACCCTGTTGAGGTCCCACGTGTGATATCAATGCACCGCAGGAGGCCGTAAGATTGTAGCCCCGTGCAAAAAACTTGCATATGCGTGGGTGATGAGAGATGGACTGCAAGTCTCTCCTAGTGATGACCGATGCTAAGGCCTCCCTTTTGCCTGTTTATATGAACAAGATAATAATGAAATGTCATATAAATAACACTGCCGTCTAACAGGTGTGCCCGAGATGGACAGCCAGAGCCATCAGAACCTTCGTAAGAACCTTGGGCAGATGACAACCCAAAGGACAGTGCAATGTATTCAAAACGTTGAGTATTATAACAAAAACTAAGAGGTTTGCTATGTGAGGATCTAATTGGAATGTGGGGATGGGCCTCCATTAAGTCAATGGAAGGTAGATAATTGCCCCTTCTGAAGGTCAGAAGTATGGAGTTCAGTATACTCATCTTAAGCCTCCTATGAACTATGGATCGATTAAGTCATTTTAAAACTAAAATTGCCCCTGCTGATCTGGTGCCACAGGTTGGTTGCCTGGATCTCCAATAAATGAACAATAGCTGCCTCCATCATGCTCCCTTTAACAGGATCCCCAGAGAGAAGGCAAGTAATACAAAGGTTCAGGGGAGAGGATGGAAATTCTATAGCCAGGCCTAATCTTCTGATATCTCTAACCCAGGAAACAGAGGTGGAGACATCCCATCTGTCTGTGAAAGGCTTGAGCCTTCCACCAATAGGGGCACAGTTGTGAGGCCTATGGAGACCTCTATTTCATGTTCCTCAAGAGATTCTTTTGCTCTGCCCTCCCCTTCAGTATCTATCTCCAGATCGGAAACTATCTGACTGTTGGTGATTCATGCGTCCAGACGGTCTCTGGAGTCTGGAGAGAAAATGTCCCTGGTAGAGGGAACGAAGGAACCCTTCAAAAAGCTGGGAAGGACTATTTTGGGGTCTATGAAAAGAGAGGAACTTATTTTCTGCTTCTAGTCTCTATCAGAGATAGGTCAGGGGCACCACCAACCAAATTATCTCCCTATATTGGGGAGGAAGCAAGCTTCCATTAGTTGTGTGATATCTGCTTGCCAATGTCTGAGCCATAGCAATAGGCGAGGAATAACCTGAGATGCCCTGGCTTGAGCAGATAATTTAATAGAGTTTTGCGGCATCCTTGTGTGCCCTGATATTGGAATTTGAGATAATCTCCCGCAGATGGCGGAGCTACCTGAGAGACGATCTAGTAAAAAAAAAAGGGGATGCGTCCGACTCTGCTCTTATGGCCCCCACATCAGATCGACATGCCCTACATGGAGACAACTCAACCCTGCATATCCTTTAACTTGAGATCCTCTTCTGCTTCCGTTGGAATTGCAGAGGAGGAGGATAATTGCCATTATTGTTTTATCTACTATTGTGGTGATGAGAAATTTAGCAGAATCAGAAAACCAAATAAAAATTTTTCTATCATATCCTGTAAGAGGGGTATACGCCACTGAAGAGACCCCTTGTTTCTGGATGAGGTCCAAGAACCTCTGTGGGACAGTTATGACTTCCTCTTACATTATTGGTTGGGAGAAGACTAAATCGTCTGGCCCCCCTTACAGTAATGATTGTTGGGCCAAGGGGAATGGAATATCAAGGCAGGCAGTAGTTGTTTTTTTTTTTTTTTGAAACAACAGAGACTTGGGGAAAAAAAGTCTGAGGGCAAAACAGACCTGGTCTGGTGGTCTGGCTTAATGCCTTCAATGTCTGACATCCCCCCCCCCTTTTTAAGGGGATCCGCCTCTGACAGATTTTGGTCACTGTCGTGAGTAGACCCTTCCTCAACCTGTTTATCTGGTCTCTAGTTCTTCCTCCTCCTCTGCATCATGTGAATGTGTAACTGGATTATATAATACTTCCCTGGAGGAGGTACCTGCTGGTAATGAAGGTCTGTTCTGCATAGTAACTAAATCGAGTGAGAATCGAGGTCAGATTGTGGAGGCTGCCTAGCCATCAACTTCTACTGTACCCTGGCTGCAATGCCTCTTCAGGTTGCCATGTCCCTCCAGGCCTTCAATTTGTCAGGGATATCCTCTGAAAGGAGGATTTCTGGTGTGGTCCCACAACTGTCTGTCAGGCAAGTAGCGCTGCTGAAGGCCTGGGTTGAACCGGTCGCTCTGAGGCTCTCCTGGATGGTGTTGAGAGATCCAGGGATGGAGGCAAGGTGAAATATGGAACACTTCACAAATTGCGTGTCATCCTTGCGCAGGGGCCATGCTAATCTTCTCTGTATCATTCCAATTTTAGTATATGTGCTGCTGAAGCGAGCACTCTGGAACTGGGACCAGCATGGCTGGGGAAGAGGACTGAGACTTCTGTTCAACCTCCCTCATGCATTTTTTAAATTTTTTTTTTAAGATATGCTCATCTAACGCATTTTGGTGTCTCTTGGCATCCTTTGTTGCCTTAGAGGTCTCTCTAGGACATTTTGACCTACTTTGAGTTGGTTTATTGTCCTCTGGGGGTATTTTTGGTTGCCCTTGAAGATTCTGACCTAAAGCCCAGAAGGTGAGATATCTATATCTATATGTGTATGAGATATTAATGGACTGTTGACTGGTTCAGAGGACTGATGTAAACAGAGGCAGGGAATCCTCTTGATATTTGCTCCCCCCCGCTTTTTTGGTAAATTCAATTTGTTATTATGTTATTATTCATAATAATATTGATATCATTAATATTGTTATTATTGATAATATTTTTGTTATATCTGTGCACAGCTACTAACATAAATTGTTGTGCTGTTACCAAACTCATAATTAGATGACTGAATATGGAATCAAATTGTGAGGCCAAATAGAGAACACCTTTCAGGACCTGTATTGCAACTGGGTGATCCTGCAGTCACTGGCCCTCAACAGCTTCCTGCCCAGACAGACACAGGCCTTGGTGCTCGCTGTTACTGTGCTGCTAGAATTCTGTGAGGGCTGCCAACTGAAAAAGGAAGCCCAATAGTCAACCTCAGAAAAAGATCCATAATTGGCATAAATGTCCCCTGGACCCTCACGGAGATCCTTGTGAGGGGAAGTGGCCTCTCAACAGATAATGCCATGGAATTCTTATAAACAAAATGATGCCGGCGTTGTTTTAGTCATCAAGATGTAGCATCAACCATCACCTCTTATTGTGAGCCGATGCGAATCTAACTAGAATTTGAGAATTTTAGCAGGAGAACTCTGAGTCCTCTGGCTCCACCCGATCAATAGCCCTTGCTTCTTCTATATACCTTGTGGGAGTATATCTGAAACTACAGAATCTCCTGTGGAGAGATACCTGAGGGTAAGGATGCTCTGTCCTGCTTAGTGACCAGAGTTATAGGGAATTCCAATCAGAAGGAGCGCTCTGTTGTTGGCCAGAGCAGTATGCTGCACCCCCGCAGAGATACATTGGCGTATTGCTAATTCCATCTACAGTCTCATCTTTGTGGGGATCTTTTCCGGTAAGTCATCATCTTGACAGAATCTGGCCGCTGTTGGAGCAATGTGGCCACAGAGTCACTTCGAGTCGCTTGTACTGATCTAGATGGGCTACCTGATCTTGTGCAGCTGCGCTGCATCTGGATTACACAGACAGATCCAGGGGTGGTTGCAGAGGGGGACTGGAGCCGAAGTAGGCCTGGAGGAGATGAGGTTTAAGAATTTTCTTCATCCTCCCACATGAACTTCTTCATGTGCTTTTCTAGTACCATATGGCGCTTGTTAGCGTCTTTTTCTGCTGCTTAGGAGGTACACTTAGAATGCTTCAATTTGTTTTGAGAATTTGACATGGCTCTTGGGCTACTGCCGCTTGCCATTGTGACCGCTTATTAAATTTAACTGTTAATGAGGCTGAAATGTTGGGCGGTTGGCACGCCCAGGGGCCTGAACCAGCAATAGCCAGGGAACCCTAAAACAATGCTCCCCAGTTTTGTATAATGTTATGTAAGAATATTGAATTCTTATTCTTGTTCCTATTATTATTATTATTATTATCATTATTATTATTTTGTTATTAATATTATTATTTCTGAATTAGCCAAATTTGGAACACCTCATAGGCCTAGAAAGGAGGAATTGTTGAAATAAGATGTAGGCCTGCGACAGCTTCCTGCACAGGCGGACACGGGCCTTGGTGCTCGCTGGTGTTTAATTCTGTGAGGGCATAAGCCAACAGTTTCCTCCTTAATGAATAAGGGTCCAAAATAGAATAATTATATCTATCTATCTATCTATCTATCTATCTATCTATCTATCTATCTAT